TATATATATATATATATATATATATATATCACATTTTAAATATTTACCAATTATATGAACACAAGTTGAAACTTCAAAAACTTAAGTGAAACTAGGAAGAATAACCAAAGAATGTAACAAATTAGATAAACCTAGAGGTAAGTATATGGAAATAATAGACAAGGCATTGTATTTTAGGGCATGTGATCCATAATTCTGGCCTTATGCTTTCTAGTAGCCAAGAGAAAATGAGAAGTAGTCACAAGACATATTTTCAAAGACTAAATTGATTCTATCAATTGTAAGAAAGAACGCAACTATTTGTTTCCTCCTCCTAAGACCAATTCCTCTGTGGGCCCTTATAATGAAAGGGGCATGATTTTGTAATGAGCATTCTAAATTACAGTTCCATAAATCAATATATCAAGCTTCATACAATGAAGTGTTGCAGCATGAATTAACGGACATGGCTGTTGTGATACCCAAACCCAAACAGCACCACATGCCTTTAATCTAAATTGTGATCTAGGAATCAAACATATCAGTCCTGACTAGGGACTTGTTAGAAATGCAGGATATCAGGTCCTATCCAAAGGCTAAATCAGAACGTTTTCTATATTTTATTATATACTTATAATATTTATGACAATTTTCTGTAATTTGCTGACAAGACCAGCAGGTGATTCCTATGCAAAACAAGTTTTCAAAAGCACTGATTTAGTGGGTCATTTTGATTTGAATAAAAATTTGTAAGAACCTATAATTTATCCACTGCATTCATTCAATAGATATTTAGTGAGAACCCAGAAGTAGGAAATGCTTTCTTTAAACATAGCTCCAGAAGCACTAGCATAAGGGAAAATATTGATAAATGAGATACCATTTTAAAGGTATATTGACAATGCAAGCCACATAGTACACAGACAATATTTGCAACAATACAAAAGAAAAGTTAGATACCTACATATGTGCTAGGCACTATGTTAATATTAAGGTCACAGCAGCATAAAATATCTCCATCCTGTGGAATTTATAGTCTGATTAGTGAAGACATCAATAAACAAATTGAATAAAAACAAGAAAGAGAATAATTTTAAATAGGCCTGCCAGGAAATGCCTCACTAAGGAGATATAGACCTATCCAAGGTCATGGAGCTAGCTGTAAAGATATCTAGAGGAAGTGTTCCAAGCAGGGAGAACAGGGAATCCAAACACTATGAGACAAGAGAATGTCTAAAACAACAGAAGGCCTGTGTGGCTACTGAACACGGAGTAAAAAGCAAAGTAGGTACGCAAGAGGCTTGATCATGTGAGGCCTTATCGGCCATTTTAAGTGTCACAGCCTTAACTATGAGATAGGAAGCCACTGGAAAGAAGGCAATAGGGACCCACTGAAGGATGCTGAGCAGGAAAATGATGAATGAGAAGTGTCTTTAAGAAGCTAGCTTTTTAAAAAAGTGGATGAATGGCTTAGTGGGAAAAAGCTAGCTCAGAGTGATTCATTCATTCCATTACTTATTGCATGGCACAGATGTGTCAAATAATGTGAGAGGCTCTAAACTAGGGTGATAACTATGGGAAATGACAGAGGAAGGTGAATATAAATGACATTGAATGAAAAAAAAGCACTGGGACACAAAGACAGATTATTTATAGAAAAATGACACACAAGTTAGAAATTCAATTTAATCAAGGTTCACGGATCATCTACTGAGAGCAAAGCTGTTTGCTGGCAAGGAGTTAGGGAGGGGAAGGTGTGCCAGTCCCTGCCCTACTAATTCAAAGCCTGAATTTCTTGGATTGCTGAAACTGAAGCCAGCACTAGGAGTAACTGATCTAACATATTAAAAGCTCTTCTTTCAAAATCTTTGGAGCTTGTTCTCTTGTTCCTTCCCCCGGGAGTGGCCATAGAACCTCAATTTGATTAGTACCAGAAGACTTATCTAATTTGGCAGGAGGACAGAAGATAGGTCTTACATCTTTTTATGGGGCAGGGCTTTAAACTGGTTTTGGACCACCAGTTTCTGTGCAGAGCCCTCCTGGTCTTTTGGCTGATTTTCCACTCTGCCATTCTTTTATGGAGAAAAGACCCGAAGGCATGGGCAAAGGGCAAAAGAAGAATCAGGCTTAAGGGAAACAACTGGGGGAAAATATTTTTTACAAAAATTGCCTACCATCAGACTGCAGGGTTTGGGAGGCAAATGCAAATGTAATGCAAATGATATGTAAATCTCTCTGTGGCCTTCTAAATGGTTTTATACAACTGGAAGGGCCCTTGGGAAACAGCTAGCAGATAACAATGACTCAGAAGCAGAGCAAACTATTTCAAGACAACTTTGTCACATGGCCCTTTGCTGCCCTGCTAGCTTGATGCATCCTTTAGCATTTTTTCTCTTCACTTGAATCAAGCTCACCTGATGCAAATTTAAAAAAAAATTAAGTCTACTTGCTTACTGGTTATCTAAGCTACTTATACTTCTAAGGCACTCCATAAACCTTTATGTTTTTCTTCAAATGCCTTTCTCACCACATCTAGCCAAGTTAAATGTGTTGCTTCCTGTCTAGAACAATATGCTGTTCCAGCGGATTATGAATGAATGTGCCTTTCTTTCAGTTCTAGTTACTATGAGGCTTTGTAGGTTTTTTTTTTTTATTATTGCTGAAACTCCACAGGAACTGGCACATTTTCTTCTAACATCTACATTCAAAGGCAGTTCGGGAAAGAACGCCTACATATATAGTTGTGAAACTAAATCACCTTCAAGGAGCCCCTGAAAAACTATTAAGAAAAGCTGCCTGGTCACAAATGCTGTGGCTTTGGTCAACCTAACTATTGATTTTAAAACAGGAAAAAAATGCATTGGATTAAACTGAGTATATTTCTGTCTACACTTAGTTATTTTAAAAGACTACACTCCCATCAGATACACATTTATGAGGAGTCCCAGGGTGAATTTAATAGTAAATAACACAGTGTGCACATCGGATCTACTGCTGGGCAGCTGGTTACAGGCCCAGGAGTCCAGAAGCAACTTTCCTCCCCATCAGTCCTAGAAGTTCCATTACTTTTTTCGACTCTAACATCCAAGGGTGTTTTTGCTAGCAGGGTCAAAGGAAAGAAAATAACTCCCCACTCCCCCGTTTTTAAACACTCACTTTTAAGGGCCACAAGGTCAACCCTTAAAATGCTAGAGGGCCAAGAAGCATCTGGAGTGATGCCACCAAGTTCACTGCAAAAACAGGAACAACACAAGATATCCAACAAACGGAAGCGCAGACAAAGAAAGGGGAAAAGGACAGACAAAAGCAGAAAATAAAGCAGAAGGGACTGAAGAAAGCACAGCTCCAGACATAACAAAGAAGAGA